TTTAGCATCCCCTTAAGCATATCCCTGTATTATTTACTTGTCGGAAGATTAGAGCGCTTAGTCGGAGGTCCGAAGCGCGCTTGGTTTTTTCCAGAAGCCTCGCTCGGCAAGGATCTGTAGTGGGCCCACTATATTTACGTCGCAACACTGATCCTCTCGGAAGCCAAACCGGTCAATTCCGCTTTTTTTATTCCTTATTTTTAGGAAACCAAAGCGCCCGATTAGTCTGTGACTTCATCAATTTCTTCTACTCTTTATCTCATGATCGGTTGATCTAGAATTCTAGAAACTAAATGGTCAAAGCTTAGCGATAGACGTCAGTAGATTCAAACAGAGCTAATTATGACCTTATCTTTCCGTTGAAAAGCACGCACGTCACCTAAGATCCTCGATTAAACTATAGTAATTGTAAGGCGCAGATGAGTCCCGTTTAACTCAAATTGTGTGTCATTAATTACCGGGATACGTGTCTTGAGATCGTGACGTCTACGGTAGCCGTTCACCACCGTGTGACGTGGGATCATTTACGCACGCAGGACCCCTGGTCTCTTCGTCTGCCACGAGATTAGTCATGGTGTGCACGAGCGAGAATCGCGAGGCGAGGAAGCGGATCAGGCTCGTCAACGACTCGAAAGCCACGGCGACCTTCATGTTCGACGTCGACCCGCTTCGGAGACCGTTCGAGGCGAATCCATGGCGCGGGCACATCGGGCCCCGTTCTCGCAAATACGTAACGATCATCTTCGCGCCGCGAGAAAACGGGATCTACGCATACCACTTTCCCTGCTTAATCCTGAATCATGTAATGACTAATTGAATTGTCGATTGTTAGAGCGCGCAACCCTTCGTACATTCGAGTAAGGGAATCGGTTTTGTATCTTACAATACCCAGATAGTACAAGACACTCCTATGAACATTTTAAGAAAATTCTTGAAGAATATTTGAAATATTCCATAAGTCATTCTTATATGTTTATAACAGTATAGATGTTGTACACACGTATGTTTTCGACTTTTGAACTGCATAAACATAATTAACATCAAGAAAAAATTCTTGCCTACTGACGTATTCACATAACACATTTTACAGAAACCAATTATCATAGAGTTGTATGGCTATTGTTGCACGACGTTACGTAAAACGAACGCACAGGGTCATTTTAATTATCCTACGAGATTGAAAAATGGCTTCGGAGGATACACGAGCGATACTGTCGTCGCTGCTCAAAATCTACCTGCGGTCTCTTCGTCGAAGAATTGCATTGACCTCGGTCAGGCCGATGCGGAGACGGAAAACGCTGCGCGAAGAATTCCGGAAACCCTGTGTCTCACTAATCACAGCCAGTCCGATGTATCAATCAAATGGGACCAAGGTTGTTGTTCATCGAATTAGCAGATGCCGTCATTAACATTTATCTCTATTCTTTACCTTGGAAAATTATTTTATATGAATGCAAAAATTATAAAATTAGAACTGTTGTAAGCATATGCATCTTCGTCAACACTTAATTTTGTGCACAGACATTGAAGGAATTTTTTCTATAACACCTACCGGCACGAGGATACTAGCGAACCAGACGGTTCTGTTCGAAGTCGCGTTCAATCCCAACCGAGGCAGCTGTTTTTTCGCGAGAGACCTCGTAGGAGATGTTTTTGCCGAGCAACAAGACCGCTCCAGGGAAGAAACCCTGGCATTTCCTGCGATCATGTCCGTACGGTTAATCGGTGAATACATTTTGTTTCTTTCTCTATTTCTTCGGCTTGCATAATGTCGTGGTTACCCAATTCGAGCGCCTCTTTTTTTTACATAGGTCACTCCTTTCCCATTTCTTCTGACGGTTGGATTCCTCAGTACGAGATACCACATGTAATTAAGATGCCTCCTTGCTTACCCTCGTCGCCGACGTACGCCACATTCCTAATACGGAAATATGGACATCTACCATTGATGTATCGCTTCGTACCGCCGGCATCGAGTCACTTCGTCGTGAAGCCAATGATGGGCATAATTCATCAGTAACTTTCGTTTAATAGAAAATTTTATATCACCCTAATTACTCATTGCAGAGCCGCGCGTATTATATAAACAATTTACTGCGCGTATTATATAAACAATATTGTACCATCTTTACTCGTGTGACAATTGTACTGTTTTAAAAATATTTAAAACGTTTTTATATTAGTATTTTTAGGGCGTTCAATACTAATTTCAGTTTTCAGTCATAAACAAATTATCATAATCCTTTTCAGAGATTATCAGATCATTGTAGTCGGTATGTTACCCGGAACTGATGACGAACGCGTTTATATGGAACGTTGGGCGATACGTTTCAATGGAAACACAAAGTCGGAATGTTTCATAGATTTTCAGGGATACACGGAATACGCGAATGTCAGCTTTAGCGATCGAAATACCGTGTGCTTCGCACCGACCTTTCCAGGCTGTCAAAGCCAGCAACAGTTCTACATGCGAAATATTACTCGACACACGATACAGTAAATTTCTATAATGACACTGTTATGTAATATTAATTCTGTAGAACATATTTTATTAATACTTAGGCTGGTATTATATTTGTCGTACATTTGTCAAGCGTGTTGACTGGCTGCAAAATAGAAAATTTCTAGAGACTCAACAACTTTTCCATTCTGCAGTCAATCAACACGCGTGAAAAGTTTGTCGTACGACAAATGTAATATTAGCCTTATTAGTAGTAAACATTCATTACGTAGGATAATGTAAAAGGCACCAATGCAAAATGATACATTGCATCGAAATTGGTTTAATAGTTTTGCCCTGAATTAAATTTAAAAATTATAAAAATAATTTTTTAATTATGCTTGTCTAATTTTTCCTATTGTTACAAAAAATTAATTAATAGTATTTCTATGGAAGTAGATTAGGAGTAAGTATTAGTTAGATTTAGATTGTTATGCTTTCGATTAATCCCGATCTCCTTTATAGATATGAATTTATTAATGTAACGCCGGAACTTCAAATGCGAGATGGAAATGGCAAAATTTCGTCGAACGATACCATTATTCACGACTGGTTATTCTGTCCTACGATACTCGGAAATTATGAGTTTGACGTAAATTGTATACTTGTTGTACTGAAAGATGAAACTCCTATTGGCCCTAGCGTCTGCGTAACATTACATGTGACAGGAAGATGCGAGTCTGGTTTTCTTGTGGTAAATTAATTAGTAAATAATAAAATAAGGTACAAAGAAATAATTTTTAAAGATAGTAACAAAATATCAAAATAAAGATCTTATAATAAAACCATTTCAATAATGTATTCTGTACGTTCGCCAGTCAGCGCCAGATGAATTAAATTTCGGAATTCAGGCATATAAAGATACGAAGGAATTAAGTTTCCACGTATTTAATCCGAGCCCCATAAACATCTATTTCAAAATGATGTGTAGTCATTGCGATTGGCCAATCGGAAATTTGAAGCGTGATGTGAAAATACAACCAATCGCGGACACTGTTCTTGCAGGTCAAGATAAAATTATTACTATTTCTCTTACGCCCACCTCGCTGGGACTTTACGAATTTTTCCTCCAATATTTTGTGAGAATGAGTTGTGATACGGACACATTGATTCCGAATCAGAAAGCAAGGAATATCTGTAAAGTATCCTGTTCATGTATATTGTCTACCTTGAAGGTAAAAATGTAGGGCATAGTATTACCTTAAAATAGTCTGACAATAAAAGTGTATTTTTTAAATACTTGTAATTTTAATAATTCGATGATATGTTACAATATGACTATAACAAATATAATGATCGTTCTTTCTTAATAAACGACAGGTGACAGACCTTCAATATTATGGGACTTATCCGGAGCTGAGCAAAGTTTTCCTTTGGAAACTGATGCAAATGAACACGTATACAAAATCTCATTTTTTTCCCTCCGTTTTATATAAATGTAATTCGTAAATGTTTTAATTGTGTGTGCGTGTGCATACGTTTTTAGGCTCAATATGATACTCAAAGATTTGCAACCGGGAACCTCGCAAACACTGTACATAAACTTCCCGGCGATGGTTTTACAAGAAAGTCCGGTTGTTGTAAAATTGCTTCTAACAAACGCAGCTGCTGTAACTGCTTCATGGAATATCAAGAAAGTGCAGCTCTGTTCATGTCGGCCGGTTGCAAAAACTCAAGGTCTCAAATTTCAACGTGCGAAGTACGACTGCTTGCATAGGAAAGTGTGTTCTATACAGCCAAAAACGGGAAATCTGAAGGTATAATCCTTTACAGTAGTTTTACAACAATTTTCCCCGACTTATTTTTCTTGTGTTTTAATTTATATATCATTGTTATATGTAAATTAATCGCAGCCAAGAGAAGAAACCTGGATAACTCTAGAGCTGCGTTACATATTGTTAGGGAAAACCGAGGCAAAGTGGAATTTGGATCTTGGAGACAATCGTCATATTTACTTTGTTATGACAATTGAAGGTTTATCCGAGTCCGATAATAAGCTGGATCTTTTAAACGGCAAACATTTTAAATTCCTGCCTGTTTATCTTGGAGAGAATAATCCCATCTATCAGGTTTGTTTTACTTTCAAAGATAAGATCAAGTTTGTAACATCGAGGAAATCTTTCAGGTATGTTGGGTGCATAATGGTATGAATCATAGCATTCCATTTTCCATAAGTCTGAAAACGATGCGTGAAGTAAATCAGGAATATTGCTATAAGGTTTTCTCCTGCGCGATTCCACATGTAATCGCGAATCCGCATACTTCCGTCCCGATTCTTTTAAAATTTCAGCCAAGGCAATTCGGCAGATTTAAAGTATATATACATAACAAATTTAGTAGACACAATTAATAAATTTTCTTCTTCAAATAAAGACTATACATTTTCGGCGTATCTTTTTCTCAATAGGGAAAGTTGCGTTTGACTCTGGGTGACATAGAGGAGGAACTGACGCTCGAAGGCGAATCCTCCTTGCCATATAAAGCAACAATTAGAGAATATGTGCCATGCGAAAGTAACTTCGAGGATGACGACAATATTCCCGTATACTTCAATACTGACTGCATAAATGTCTCGCACATGGCTACGCACAGCCACGTAGTTAAAATGATCATGATGCATAATAATTTGGTACAAGATGTGCTCGCCTACGAATGGAAAAGGTATTTGAAGTCTTACTTACGAATTAAACTAAACGGGCTGGAGAATAAATTATTAATAATCGGTCTAAAGTGATATCTTAAAACGGAATTATTTCTTTATCATTACCAGGCGTGAGATGTCTGAAATAATACACGTGGATATTTTTCCGCGGAAAGGTTTGATAAAGCCAATGTCCGTTAAAAGCTTTCATGTAACTATATATGCGAAAGAATATCCCTGCATGATTGACATTGATATAACATGCGAGTTTATTAATGCCAGCCAAAGACGGCTCTATCAGCGAAGCGTGTATATTCATGAAGGCTTGTCCCAAGAACTACAAGGGCAGTTTACTATCACGGAGAAAGGCATCAGCGTTCCGGTAAATAAAAAAATTTACAAAATTTCCCCGTAAAATTTTAAGAATTTAAAAATGACTTGAGAAAGTATTGATGTAAAATTAATAAGAACTTGATTTGGAGGTGCGATTTGTATAAAATTAAGTGTTCTCTTTAAACTTCTATATATTTATTTGTCTCAAGGAAGTACCGATGAAAATCTTGGAAAAACCTCAGCCGTTTTACAAAACTATAACGATTCGATGTTCGGTTTATAGCGTGGAAGATAAGTCTCTGAAGGTCAGTCTAATAAAAGAGCTAACAAATGCACCGCCGAGAGAAATATGCCTCGAGGAAAATGAGAAAATAATAACATTCGGGAAAGATGATATCATCCGGTCTTCATTTATTATAGAAGGTCTACTATGGTAAAATATTTAATTCTTATAAATATTATAATAAGCAAGATAATTCCAGATTAATCTCTTGAAAATGACCGTTTCCAATAGTTTAATACACTTCGTAACATCTTAGGGAAATAATCAATAGTAAATTGTTCAAAGACCTGATGCAAGATATTTTGGGGAAGGAGTCGAATTTATTTTACTCGCAATTCAGAATGAGTTTGCGCGAAAGAAAAAGATTGATACGGAGATCGCACATCTCACCGCCGCGAGCGTTAATTAATCGTATGTTCGAAGAGGTACGATTTTACTTTCGATCGATGCTCCTTCTTTAAAGAATCAATTGATCAATTGGCTTTATTTTACAGATGCTGTTTATCATAATGCACGAAGAATTCGCTTTAAAGACGGCACATTTAATTGAGCATACAGATATCAGACACACGGACTACTTGAATATGGTACCCAGCGTGAGCAGGAAAAATACAATCAGGCGAGGTATGACGAAATATATTTTATTCTCAACAAAATAATCATTTATCTTATTCTCTCCTTGCGAATCCGTTTCAGAAACGTCGTTACATCGAGACGAATATTCCTCCGTGGTGTCAGAATTAGTACCTTCGGCCAGAATATCCTTCGCTGTATAATTGTAAGTAGCCGGACGATCATATGTGATCGCCGCTGCTTCTACTCATTACGACATAGGGATCCGGGATTCTCTTGCAAGATTGCAAGAGATGTGGGTATGCTGGTACATAGAACGGATATCGCATATAAGTCTAGAGACGAGATTGGTACTTGAGATATGACGATTCGTTTGATTCAATAGAATTGACATATGCATGTATCTTCTAGTCGTGTACGGACGGTACAAAGAATCTCTAAATTTTTGAATGTAACAATATATAATATATTTGATTAATACGAGTGTACAATTAAAAAAAAAAACATAAATCGAGAGAAGTAATTTTACTTTAATTGTAAGAATGAAATAAGAAAATCTAACACATTATTACGTGTGCAATCAAGCGACACGGTAGTGTCTCGCGTAGCGAGTATACGTGTGTAGCGAGACGGACCGTGAATCTTTCACGCGAGACGATTTTTCTGAGAGTTGATCGATCTCAATAACGGCTGATCCGAGCGGCTTTTAACTACATTCAATGAATAGCTTGGGTTCGATTTATATGATAAAAGTGTTTTTATTTTTCGCCGATGTGCCCTATCAGCGGAGATATTGCGATGCCAAGTTTAGGCTAGAGAGTACAAATATTTTAAGATACTCCGTTTTCATCATCGTCCACCAAATGTAGGCAAGAAGGGACTGCGGAAAGGGTGAGAAAATGTGCACGGGACACTTCGTTGATTGGACGGCCAGTATTGCCCCGCCACTAGACTCGTGATGCCCACTACTACACGCATAGTGTATCGGTGTGAGATGACACACTAATACCCGTTTCTACCAACGCAGTTTAACTTTAATCTCGGTTCAACTTGCATTGTATCTTTCTCTAGTTTTATGAATTGGAAAAGGACAAGAAGTAATTTAAGCTGAGATTAAAGTTAATCTGCATTGGTAGAAACGGGCATAAGAGAACGAGCACGTATGTACATACATACACAAGATTGACCCGTTTGAGAAAAAGACAATAATTACTCGAAAATCTAGTAGCAGATTGTAGAAATACATATATTTTCATATTTTCTGTACATACAGTCCATGTTTACAATATGTCATAAGTATTATTTTTTATAAATGTGTGAAGATATAACTAAACGCATAACTTTCACAGCAATTATAGTGCAATGGTACTTTAATTTTGCTTTTATGTTCTTAGTATTTTGTTTAAAAACATTGTAAACTTATGAAGCTCCAAAGTAATAAGATTGTGTTTAAGTACAAATTGACTAATATTAATCATACTATAGTTTTATAGTGTAATGGTATTTTAATTTTCTTTATGTTTTTAATATTTTGTTTAATAAAATATTAGAGACTTATAGAATTTTTAAGTGATAAAGTTTTGTTTAAGTTAAGGTACAAACATATTTTTAAGATTCAACGTGTAAAAAGAAAAATCTGTTTGAGAAGAAAATTAAATACCGTTTTAATTACACAATATCTTATGATTTACTTGCACATATACATATGTATGCGTGTATGCAAATTCATCTATTCATATTGAATTATATATAAGAATGTCAATAGATCTGCGTATATAAAATTGGGATCTATACGAAAAGATATAACTATATGAAATTATGTAGAAAGGGAAGAGTGCCAATGTGAGCCACAAATGAAGACGGTTCTCACAAATTAGAAACAAAATTTCTCTTTAATAAACGTTTCGACCCTCCTTCGGGTCTTCCTCAGTAAAACTCGTTTAAATCGACTAAAGCGTATTTTTAAGGGATCAGAGTATGTGATTTGGGAATCATTCCTCTATCAGCGATAATCCCAATATATCTCTAAATGGTCCCAGACATAAAGAGGACTGAAATACTCAGGTCGACAGAGGGATGAATACGTTACACTGGTGTTAACACGACTGTGATACAGTTCATTTGTGGCTCACATTGGTACTCTTCCCTTTCTACATATTTTCTTTTTGGGAGCCTTCACAACATTTTGGAATATATATGTAAAAATGTTGTGAAGGCTCCCATATACAGGGTGTCCTGAAATTCGCGAAGCAAAATACCATAGCAAGAAAGTCGTCGAAAAAATAAATTAAAAAGTTATTTGCCATTTTTCGTTCCGAACAGTAGTTTTTTTTAGATAAAAAGGTTCAAAACAGGCCAATCGTACACTACGGTTGAACGGAAACCTGTCCGTCAGTCGCGCGTTGATAGTGTTAGTGCGTTAATATATATATATATATATGTATATATATATATATATATATATATATATAGAGAGAGAGAGAGAGAGAGAGAGAGAGAGAGAGAGAGAGAGAGAGAGAGAGAGAGAGAGAGAGAGATAAAATTCAACTGCTTATATCTGAGCGGTTAGATATACTCAGATATGATTAGATTATTTATTATTTTGTTTCGTTGTGTGTTTTATAGTATGTTTTTGTTGCTCCTGTCTGCTTGGGAATTGGGCCCCGCAAATGGGACATCTATACGTGACCGAGCTTATTGGGTTATCTGTCCATAAAACAATTCTCTTTTAAATTTCTTATACATTGTCTTACTATACTATAGACGTCTTTAAGGGG